CGAACAAATAAAAATCGAAAGCTACTAATGTGCACTAATAAGCAGAAAGTGCTAGGAGTGAGATACAAGAGTAAATACTCTTAATCAGAGCATAAAAAGTCTAGGTGCGGTCTAGTAGGACAAGTACTAGTTATACAATACCAGAAGATATCCTACAAATATTTTATTCTGTCAGAACCACCCAGATCCTCAATGTCACCAGCAAGTCTACCTAAAACCTGGAGGGGCGCAAAACAGAAAACGTGAGTGGACAAAAACAAAGCTGTTCAAAATCATTTCATTTATCAAGTGCTCTAACCCCTCACCGTAAAACATGTATAATTTTCCCAGAAATAGAATATGATTATAAACATATATATAGATATATTCAAGTCATGCTTCACATCTCCATAAACATAAGTATGACATGCCAAATATAAAATAGAATAACTCAGGTGAAATAAAATCATGGAAAATAACACATTAGACGGAACCCCTGCAGAAGTCTATACGGCTGAATTCATAGCTCATTAGTCAATCTAGCCAGAGTCACTACAAATGACCTATACGGCGCTACACTGCAAACAAGTCGGAACCACTAAAAGGTCTGTACAACAAGACTGTGTGTAATATAGTTATGCTCAATACTATGCTCTCATGATAGCTGTGCGACAAATCCCTAGTCACCTATGAGTCGGAACCACCTATAATGGTCTGTACGACAAGACTGTGCACCTAAATTGGATCCAATGTGAGCATAGGGTGCGAGATGTGACATTATAAACAGGTATAGGCCATATCTTTGGCTAAATCACTAATACCGGGGTGCAGGTTTATGAGTTTTATGCTTCTCAAATAATCACAACCGTTATTCACATTCACAATTCATGAACTCACCTAGGCTTACCTGAGCGTCCACAGCACCACAATTATATATATGTATCATATACTAATTCATATACTAAACATAAATTTATATGCATGGCATTTCAAGGTATACTTTCATTTAAACACATTTTCTGGGAAAATATCAAGTATATAAGTATATACTAAAAACCAAAAGTCCACTCACTGGTATGTCGAAGGGTCGTAGCCCCCGAATCGTCCTTGACTCCACTCGTCCTCGACTCCACTCATCCTCGGAATAAGTCTCCCCTATATGAGAAACAACTATAAAAATGTTAATGTAAAGCACATAACCAATACTAGCTAATAACTTCTCATACATTGTTCAAATGAGATGTTTGAATGTACCAACATGATCTACACAACCTTAAGAACATCCCCATACTTTTAGAAAAAAATTCTGACCATTCACGCGTCGCCACGCACCGCCCACGCGCGAGCAAGTGCCTGGCACACTGACGGCGACAATTAATGCCGTCAGGAATATTCCGTTATAATCTAGGATTCCGTCTAAAAACTAATGGCGTTACCTTACATCGTTAACAGAATATGCTTCTTCTTCCCCGACGAGTCACCGAACACCGGCGACTGTTCGCCGGTTTCTAGAAAAGTTTCTAACCCTATTTTCTCTCTCATTTTAACACCAAACTTCAAGAAACTTGAACCATTTTGAAGATCTCACCAAAACGAACAAAACCATACCTGAGTCGAGCCCTGAAACCACCAGAAACCCTCCGAAAAAAGCCTCGATATTCCAACAAATCTTAAAACTCATTGTTCTTGATGATTTGACGTCCAATTTCTTCCAACGAACCACTCCGAGCTTCGTGAGAACCTCATAAAGCTTCCTGTGAGCTTGAAATCCCCAAAAACACATAATTTTACGATTGCATGAATAGTGACAAAAATCAGGTTAGGGTTTTCACGAGTTTTCGAAGAAGTTCTTACCTAAAAATGGTACCATTCAACTCGTATAAACCTCATGAACACAATGGTGCCCTTTGAACCCTCGATATGTGCGTGTATGGTTGGTTGAAGTTCGTCCGTACGTTTTGTGCGAATTTTCTGAAAAATCCAAGAGGGAGGAGGGAGAAAAGGCACTGGAGATAGGGAGAGTTTGTGTGTGTGTGTGGTCCATGTGGGTCACCAACCAAAACCAAAGAAAACACTTTGAGTCCTAAGTGTTCCAAAACTTTGGAAAAATTTAGAATTTGTCTAAATAAATTTAAACTTAAACCACACCACCACATAACTCAATTACATCTCAACGTCCAAAGGTAATTTAGTAACTTCCACGCCATCGATAATTTATTTCGGGACGGGCTGTGATATGAGAGATAAATGTTGAACAAGAAAGAATTGCTAATCTTCTATGTCTTGTTAATATTTATTTCACATTTGATTACCATGCAACTATAATGTGCCCTTTTATTTTTAAGAAACAAATTGTCATATATATTTGTCAATTAATTAGGTATTATTTTGTTAATGATCATTAATTCTTGTATCGAATTTTCATCAACAATTTAATCATTAATTTTTTTAATCAAGTTGAATGCTGATTATATATGAAAAATACTTCTGCAAAAATTATTGAGAGAAAAAAGTGCTTAATTTATTGTTACTGGATGCACTTTTAATTTATTGTCAAAAGCGCATATATACAATGCAAAAGTATGTAGTTGGTTGTTTCTCAAAGAACACTGCTACTTTTTACAAGTGCTTCTCACCTTCTTGTGTGAGTGATTCTGATCCTGCTTTCGTTTGCTGTCGCCGGTCCTAGCTACGGCTGGGATCCGTGGGTAGCTTTTTGTTTTTGTTTTTTCTTTCTTCTCCCCTTCCATCTGCTGCGGGTTCTTCCAATTTTTCTTCCTAATTCTTCAACCCCTGTGGGTATCCCTTTTCATGGCCCTTCCTTGCTTCGTTTTTTCAACCATGTTTTCTGTTGAGTTTGTGTGTAGAGTTCTAGTATTGTATCCGGCTCGGATGTCTCCCACATCACCACGTTTTCCTTGTTGTCTGCCGTTTTCGGCAGTGTTGCTTGGGAATTTCCCAGAGCTTCTTTCCGATGGTTGGCTTCTCTCTTGTCGACTGTCTCTTGTTGATGGCTGTGTGCATGTGACACTTGTGGAAGGGATGATTTGCGATGGACGAAGGATCAGGTGGCTGGCCAATTCTCGGATCGGCAGTGGCGACCACAGTGGATGGTTCTCAGTTGTTCGTTTTGTTTGGACTTCACTATTGTTGGGCTATTTTTCTATGTTTTCTTTGTTTTAAGGCCCATTCTTTGTTTGTTTCTAGAATAAATTGGATCTTTGTTTGGTTTGTAAGTATGTGTTTGTTTTAATAAAACTTCCTTAGATCCCACTTACCCAAAAAAAAAAAATACGAAAAAGAAGTGCTGGGCTTTATAGAGTTGGAGTTCAAAACTTAATTGTTAACAAACATAGAGTTGTTCTTTTCTGTGGACATATATGATATACGTAGCAGTTTAGCTGAATCGGTGAGAAGCATAATCAACTTAAACCCCTCCCAGTTGATTGACAAGTGGCTTCGATGGTTCTATATATATAGCATAAGGAATTATAAACAAATACATATTAGAGTTGAAGAGAGAGATTATAGATAGAGACTCTTTAATTGTTAAATATTTTAGGTTACATTCCACTCTATCTTTCTTCCGGCCGGGGCTTCGTTCTTACCACATTTAAATTGCATGCAACGTGGGCGGTTCACATAAAATTAACAATCCTTTTCCTTATCATTTCCTTGAGTGATTTTTCAATGTAATGGTCACACGAGATAATACTTTACGTATCCTTATATAAATGATGAGTTATGTGTATTAAAAGGATGATAACTTAAAAATTAAAATTTTCCACCACTTGCATAAAAACACTTGATATATCATCCGTATTCTGGTCACAACTAAAAATTTCTCCCCTTTAAACAAGAAGGACGTTTAGTTACCGCAAATTAGTGTAAACAGAATAACGAGCCTTGGAGGATGTTTGAGGGATGACCCTTCTTCCTATCCTATATGGAGTCTTATATATGGTCATATTTGACAATGGTTATGGCTTTCTGCAGCTATCTTGGTCTTTTTATGAGTGAGATTTCTTCTCAAATCTTTGTATTGCTCACTGATCCGTGTAGTTTGGTGCTTTATTATTTGATGATATGCTGTGGGTGGAACCCTTCTCTGTGGGAGTTTTGTGTGTTCAATCCAAATATTGTTATTTGACCCTTGTTTTATCAATGAAATCACCACAAAAAGACGATATTTCACCAAATAATAATAATAACGAGCCTTGACAAAGGAAAAAAAGGTTTATGAACCTTGATTATTCTGTTACTAATCACTAATTAATTATGTACCTGCAAGATTTAATTAAGCAGAAAATATCATATCGTTCTGAAACACGATCCTACTCAAGAACCTCTAAATCTACTTAGGCATGCATTTGGAACGTGTTAAATATTTATAGGCTGACTCATGCAGGTCTCGCACGGATATAGCCGAATTCGATGACCATTAATTAGCTAGCCGACACTATATGCCAATATATCAATCAAGTTGATATGTATGAGATTTCTTCTCTACTTATCAAAATAAATAATAATTTAGAATAATATTCCCTGGCATTGTTAGCTTCAAAAACGAGTTCTGGCCACTTTTTGTGTATGTGTATCTATGTATAACAGAAGGTTACTAAACCTTAGAAGCAACACTATTAGATGATTCCTCCACAACTTCTCTACTATATATCTTTTTTTTCCCTGTTGGGAGTTTGGAAGGCTGATTAACTAGTAGATTAATCCATGTCTTAGAAAGTGTGCATGCGCGCGGTCACTGCAATCTCATCGTCATGGATATATCAATCTCAAAAGTTGAAGGTATGTGCTGTTCTTTTTTAAACAAGCAATAGTCGTACACTAAATAACTCTCAACTAAGAGACGAGAATTCAAACTTGAGTGCGAATGAGAAATTTACTTTGCTCTAGCCAACTTAACTAAGTCCAAACCTATATTTATGATAATTATTAAGGTGTGGAGAAAGTATTTCATTTTCAATAGACTATTATTTGACATACGTACGCTAGTGAAAACCTCGTCAAGCAAACCGAAAACAATCATCAATTAACAACACACTTTTGATCACCTTCTTAAACCTTTGTCGACAAAAGAGAGTCTAATTCAAGAAAGAAAGAAACAAAAATACATCACAAAACTTGAAGGATATAATTATATCTTTATTCTCCCACGATTGATCTCCCAGGGAACTTGGAACTTGGATGTGTACTGTCCTCTTGAATAAAGTACTCCTGTCAAGGTCGACGGTTCCTATTCCTAGGAGGAGGATTTGAACTCGAAGAAGAAGAAGACCCGAACCCCGGCATAGAATAGCTTAAGGGATGTTGTTGATCTTCTTGTTGATGAGATGGTAAGAAAGGTAATAAAGATGATGACGATGTAGTAGTTTCTGATGTCTGGTTAGCAAATATCTCTCTTTCATAAAGAGTAGCTGGTAAATCATAACTTATGCACTCGTGACCACTCCGAAAATATTGTGCATATTGATCATGAGGAGGAGTAACAACATTATTAGGGAATGCCTGCAGTTGATATTGATAATCAGAAAGAGGGTGATGGTGGTCAGTAATTACTCCTTGAGATGTCCCAGCTGGCAAGTTTTGTTGAGTACTAGTGGCAGTGAGGGAACCTAATTCAGTAATTCTTCCTTGAACTCTTTCGGGAAAGTTGAGCTTAGCTTTGCTTCCTTTAAACCTGAGAGCTGCTTCATCATAAGCAAGTGCCGCTGCCTCGTCGGTTTCAAAGGTGCCGAGCCACACCCGAGCTGCCTTCTTCGGGTCACGAATCTCAGCCGCCCACTTCCCCCATGGTCTCTGCCTCACTCCTCTATAGTGCCTTCTCCTCGCAGTCCCTTCACAAATTAACAATGTTATGCATGTATCTAGACCTGTAAAATGGTCGGGTTTATTGGGTTTGGGTCGGGTTCAATCCGACTCGTTAAGTTAACAGGTCACCCGAATCCGATCCGTTAAGCTAACAGATCACTTGTTTCATCCGTTCCGTTAACCCGACCCGACCCAACCCGTTAATATTAGTATTTGGATGCATGCTTAACGGGTCGGGTCGCTAACGGATGAACCCATTAACAACCCGTTAAATAACGGGTCATTTTTATTCAACCCATTAGCACCCGTTAGTTGAGGATGTTTAATTTCAGTAAAGTCTTAACAACAAAAATTAAACTCTATGCAACAAAATAATAATAATCCAAAATGCCAGGTCTACATGTATGTTTCCAAATTTATTAAAACAGTACCCTAATTAGGTGCATTCAAACAGAATAAATGGTATGTTAATAAGATATTCAACACACTCAATTCATCTAACTACGGGCAAGGGGATTTAGGTGCATAAAGAGTAACACATTGCTCTAACCAATTGGCTTAAGTTCAGATCTGCATATTGAATTGTTATTGTTAATTGTATATATCAACTATACACACTCTAATATTCATCTTTATTTGGTAGAATAGCTACATGGAAAACAATTGTAGCTAGGAAACAAGTAGCAAAAAGAATGTAACCATATAGACAGTCTACACAAATGAGCTATGGCAAGCACGAAACAAATTAGGCCCAAAATACAACGGACGAACTTCAGTTATTTAAACTGTTATTAGGGAACAAGGTTTCGTGGTGTAGTTGGTTATCATGTCATTCTAAAGCCACTTAGTACTTCGGTTTAATGATATTTTTCTTTATTTGTAAGTAATATGACTTAGGTTTGATTCTCACCTAAGATGAATTTAAATTATATTATTGTTAGCTCATTTTGAAGCTTAGCCCACTCCCTTAACCCTTTAGACCATCTCCAACCCTTGGGCTAAAAACCAAATTTTTTAGCCTGAAAAATTTGGCTTTTAGCCCAGAAACATCTTTTCTGCTCCAACCCTTCTGCCCTAAAATTTTAGCCCGAAATTATTAAAGAATGAACTTAGGCTAATTTTTTTCTTAAATCAATTTTTAAAAAAAATAAATAAATATGTAGATTATTGTAAATTAATTTTATGAACATTTTAATCTAAAAAAATTTAAATTCCGATAAACATTTGGCATTTAGCCCGGGGAGAAAGCTGGGGGGGGGGGGTATTTGGCCCAGAAATAACATTTGCCATTTAGCCTAAAATTTTAACATGGGTTGGAGAGTGTTTGGGGGGGTAATTTGGGGGGTAATTTGGCTTTTAGCCCAGGTTTGGAGATGGTCTTAGTATATATAATATCGTTTGTTCAGAAAAACAAACTGTTATTAGGGTACCCAGGCTGCTTTTGCAGATAAAAACATTAAACCTAACTAAAAACATCAGCTATATGAAGATGGAAACGGAACAATATAGAGGATTTGATTCTAAATCTGCACAGTAAACCCTAAATCCATATCATAAGCCGAATCATGCATGATTAATTAGGGCACTACCTGTTGAGAGAGAAAATTGATATAAGAATATATAAGACTACACAACTTCAAGTTCATGCTTCCTTTTGCAGGTAAAAAACTGTCACAACGTATAAACTGGAATCGATCCCTATGAATATTTAAGTCTAGCTACACCGGGGAACTAAATCAATTAAAAGTGGAAGTAAATAATGAAATTGCTCAAGTACTAGCAATAATAATCATGATCAATAGTAATGTTGGGCTATATTAAACCTTGATCTCGAGCGTGTTGAGGAGATTGATCATCATGCGACTCCATGGCGCTGGACTGGGGAGCAATCATTGGTGGCTCCATCGGCACTTGAACAGCTGGGGTCTGGTTGTTAGTGCTTCCAAGAACTTGAGATAGAGCTGAGACCATGGCAGACATCTCATGTTGAGATCGAGCTGATGAGCAAAACGGCTCGAAGATCATTCGATGATCCTCCTCTTTCGCCTCTGGTTCATCACCAGGAAAGGACCTCTTCCCATGCTTTCGATCCACTTTATGGCCTTGTTCAAAACCCTTCGAAAATTTATATATAAGATATTCTTGTGCTAAATCATCAAGCAAACATGCACCACAAGTATTGTTCTTACTAGCTAGCAATTAACTATCTTGTTTTGTATTACTATATAAATATGAATCAAAATCAGTAGATATAGCAGTGTGTTTTCTTTTATGCACCCAAGTTCGAATCCTTCTTTTCGTGATTTAGATGAATTTAGTATAGAATATCAATTTGCTAAGAAAAAAGTATGAACCAGGCAAAATCAAGAGAGGAAGAGACAAGAGGACAATAGCGCAAAAGAGAAGGAGGAGAGAAGCTAGGGTTTGATACAGTCATTTAATATTTGTTTCCTAGCCTAGCTCTTTGGTGGTGTCAAATTCTGGGAGCTGAATTGAAAAAGCAAATGGTCCAACTTTATGGCCTTCTATTCCATCTTTTTTCTTCTTTTTGCACTAACTGCGTTTACTTTTGAGGCTATTTATTCCGGATAGTTTAAATTTGAAATAATGCTAAGGAGACTATTTATTTAAACTGTATTTTATAAATCATATGACGTAATTGTTGATGATTAGATTATCATTTAAATATTGATTAACGTTCTTATTTTCTATTTGTAACACATCACATAGTTTACAAATGTAATCTAAAAAACTTTACATAGTTTACAAATGTGATCTAAAAAACTTTATTTACCTAAAATGTCATGGTGGAGTCATCAGAAAGGGAAAGGAATAGATGGTTGGACTTATCCAAAGAAGAAAAATAGGATTGAATTTGCGTATGTCAAAGCATGCATCATGCATGAATGGTAAAGTATTATCTTGAATTTACAAATCATAGCATGCATTTTCATGCTCAATTGATGGCATGTTTCATACTTGAAATGCGACAAATCAAGAATCAAAAACGTCATAATATTAAAAAAAATGTAAATTAGATGTGAAATCCACTACTAAATGATTGTACTATGAGCTCACATACATTTTAATTCTATATACGTCAGAGAACGAATAATTTATATATTCTTTTTGGATAAATAAACGTGTGAATAATTTAAGATCGCCTACATCTTCAAACATGACAATAAAAAATTGAATTGGGCTTGTAATTATTAGACTAATGGGTTATTGGGCTAAATTTAATGAAAATCTGAACAGGTTTGTGTCGTGAAATCGGAAATAAACAGAATCAAAACAGTCCGGTTCAATTTCGGTTCAGTATTTTATTCTTTTTAATCAATTTGGTTTTTTTACGTTTTTATTTTTATTTTTTTTGGCTTTAGGTTGATCTGATTCTTTGACCGTTTTTATACCCACCCTTATTATATGGATATTTTCATAGTTCGGTAGCCGCTGCAGTTGCCTAAGCAAAGTACCACGCAGCCTAGCTATACACCCAGGGTACTTTGTAGGCTTGTAGCATCTTTAATTACCGACGAAATATTTGCCGTCAGGAATTAAAATTTTAAAATATTTGAATTTGTAAGTAAGATGTTTTATATTTAATTATCGTTTGAACGACATTATTGTTAACCATTATGAGACTAAATATAAATAATATCGTTGTATAAAAAAAATACCATTCCTTCTCTATGGTTTTACACCAACACTTCTATACCCTCTCTCTCTCTCTCTCTCTCTCTCTCATTTTTTCTATGAGATGTAGTAGAAACGTTTTTAATCATTTCGAAAGCAGCCTCAAACAAGCGTTGAGACCAGCCACTTTATGAACATAAATTTGTCCCGAGTGAAGAGCCTAGCAAATTAAAGACCAATGCAAGCTTTCACTGGAAAAGAAAAAAGAAGGCATCCATGGGCCTGGTACGTAGAGAGTCTGCTAAACCGCAACGTATCGCCGGAGAAAAAAAGGGCTCTATTTGTTTCAAAACAATCTTGTACTTTCATTCATCGTTCATGTTAAGTGCTTCATAAAACAATATAATTCGCAGCAGTGCAGCGAAATTCGGAAACGAAAAAGCAGGGGGAAACAGAAAAGAAGAAAACAAAAGATTAAGCAACATTTTGAACACTTGATAAACCTCCATTTCCAAAAGCTGAAAGTACTTGTACTTGTATTCTGAAACCGCTCTTCGCATCTTTCTCCAAATTGTTAATTTCAAAAGATAACCGGTTCTCCATGCTTACCGCATCCAATTGTAGAACGCAAGCCTGGTAGAGAGAACTTGCAGTCTCACAAAGGCGGCCGCGAGGACTGTGCAGCTGCAGCCATCCCAAGTCTCGAATGTGATAATGCAACATTAAATTGTTCTTCATGACAAAATTGCATTAGGGTTTCCATGCAGCCAAAGAGGGGAAGAAACAAAAAACATTCAGGCTCATATTGCAAGAGGATCAAGAGGAGAATATCAACCTTCATATGTACAGTTCTTTACATGATCACAAAATTGGTTTGTCATCTCTCGATCGCATGTAAGTCAGAAATTGAGCCGGTAGTTCTGCTAAGAGTGCCTGAACAACAGAAATTTCTCCACCTGGTGGTGAAGGGGAAGTTACTGCCTACTAATTAAAGTAGGTAAGCGGATATGGTAAAAGAATATGAAAAGTCTTACTTTGTACATCTCGGAATGGAACAAACTGTACTATATCACGTGAAGCCACATGTCCAGTAGAACTTTCAAGTCTCTCGCCCTTGTCAGCATCCAAAATCTTCACAACGAAAAATAAAGATAATTAGTTATGTAGCGTTCGGGCTTTTTATTCAAGTATGACTGTTCAGTGAAAATTATCAGTTCTCTAACATAAGACATTCCAGCGCTGAAAACACAAGGGAAGGAGATACCTCCATTTCTTTGAAGTCAGCTCCTCCTACTCCAACAATCAAGATAGACAATGGCAGGTCGGACGCTTTCACAAGGGCATCTTTGGTTTCTTGGTGATCTGTCACTACTCCATCCTACGGCAGTAAAATTTAGACCAAAGTTCTAATAAAATCAGACAAACTAAAGAAGCTGGGAAAATTTGAGTGAAGTAAAAGTAAAACAACTAGAGAGCACATCCAACCCCATTATGCATACCGTGATTATTAACAAAACAAAGTATTTTCGTCCACCATTTGCAACAGACTGGCTGGCATTCAATGCAGCATTTGTGATTACAGGTCCAAAAAGGGTTGGTCCTGCAAGAGACACATTTTGGAGGGCACTTGCGTATGCCGTCATAATTCCTTGGATTCCTTCAACCTGAAAGAAGTAGAGTTACATAATCCTTAATACAGAAAGCAACTACAAAGTTTAAGGTTACAAAAGCAAGTTCTGGCCATAAGTTTTTCACCTCACAGTGATGACTACTCCCGTTCAAATTGAAACAATGAGAAACTGGACCATCAATTGGTCGGGCTCCAAATCCCCAGGCAGGAAAGCGCTTGTCTGAATCATAAAACTGTAACACCTCCACAACTTCGATGATTGCCTGGAAAACAATGTCACAATCATATGGGTCCAAAGAAAGGAAAATAATTGTGAGGATTAAATTACAAGGGATGTAATTCTCACTCTCTGGTATGCATTTGGCCGTCCTGTAGGATCTATATAATGCAAAGAATCGGGCAGGCGAGAATTTCCATTTGAAGCTGGTAAGCAAGGAATATGAGTGAATTTGATAAGACAATTTAAGACGTATTAAAAGAGTCATTGTGAACAAGTTTGCATTTATAAGAGGGCAACAGGAAGAAAAGTTTAAAGCAATAAGCTAGAAATAACAATGATCAGTGCACAAGTACAGTGCCGCAACACTTTTCTATAGCAGACAACTGAAGCCATGCAACTGCACTTCTAGCTTTGCAAGGCTCAACTTCTAGTAACAATCACTTCTATCATGATATGCATTTGCACCCAACAAATTATGTTGTACAGTAACATTTATGTCTAGATAAGCACCTGTAAAATCAACAGCAACCATGAAGTTCAGCTCATAGCCCCCAGTCAAGTAATCAAGGAAGGTGTGCTGGACAGTCTCGGTAAACTTGTCAACAAATAGTTGGCTCTTTAGTACCTGCAATGAAGTCAGAGAACTTCTAAATTAAGAGAAAGTGGGATGGAAATCCACTTAATAATATATTACCATAATATAATATTACCTTGTTGTGGAAATCATGCCCAACAGCAGTTGGTAAAAATAAATTCTCTCCTTGTCCGCTGCTATGAAGCTTTTCCAACTCTACCAGTGATTTCTGAATTTTTCTGTATATTCAACGAAATCATAATACTGTAATAGGAGAAAAGGAAAAGAAAGCCGATAAAAGCAGTCGCTCATCCACTCTATAGGAATTACCCAATCAGATCATGCTTGCCATTGTTATTGAAATTAAAACACTCCATTATCAATGGGCTGTCCTGCAGATTAACAAAATAAATATTAAAATGGGAAAACTATTAGAAACAATAGGAGAAGCACAATATGATCCAACTATCAACAAACAGATGAAGAAGCATTGCTTCTTATCTGCAAAGGTGCACATAAATCTTTAACAACCAAATCTGCATGTTTTACTACATGGTTATTAATGTCAGCACATTTTTTAGTGACAGCAGCCAAATGAACAAGTTGAGTTAACTTTTTGAGTTTAGCAAGAAAAACAGGAAATACAGCCATGGACCAAACCCTTGAACTTTCCATGGGAAGTAAAGAAACAAAGCACATTCCAGCAAACTCGACCTCCACTAATTTACACATATAGCTGCAAAAAAGAAACATGTTTATACCTTGCTTCCAACTTGTTGAATATTTATGTATACTGGTTTCCATGAGGGTTTGAGCTCATTCTTTATGACTTCTGTTTTGCAAACTGGAATTGTGATCCCATTCTCCGCAAGTTTTGATATTACCAAAAAGGGGTCCTGAAAGACCAGTCCGAAAATGTGTCAGAACATGAACTGTTTTTCATTTGGCCATGCATGCATAAATGCTCATCATAGATAACCAAAGAGAAAGAATAATAAGTCAGAAGCTCCTACACTTTTTGAGAAGAGATCCTTGTATTCCAAATCTAAACATCTTAAACTCATCTCTATCGCTGTCTTAGAGCTAACAGATTCCTCAGCGTGCACAATGAGTTTTCCACAGTCTCGGTGAGGATTTGGTCTGTCCAACTCTTCTCTATATTCAAGATTGAGGGTTAGTAACCTGTCTGATTTAGTAACTATCTGCACAAGTAGAAAGGCAAATTAATGGGTAAAAGAATCAGACGCCAGAGCTTAAGGTGGTCCTTCAAATAAATAATTCCACTAGTGTATATTGGTAACCAGATACACTAGAAAGGTAAATTAAGTTACTTCTTAGATTAGAGATATCAAATGTCCATTGATTGTATTATATCTGGTGTTGTGTGTGGTGCGCCTGAGAGGTGAGGATTAGATCAAGCAAGCCAAAAGTAGAATACTCTTGTCTTTGACTTGTTAGGTCCAATGAGTAAACCTTGATTCAACCTTTAATTTTATGGTTCATGTTTAGGCTTGCCCTGTTTCACAGACCACAAAACCACCCACTTAGTAGCTAAGAGGTGGTTGGGTTCAAGCAGGCTTTACGCACATTGGTCAACTTTGACAAGTTTAGATAGAATATCATAGAGATTCAGTAGTTCAGTGATTCCACAGAAAATGGTCACTATGTCACACCTCAGACAATGTGCAGGTTGCCTCGCCAAGAAATTGTTGCTCCTCTAGCTGAAGCATCTGCACAAGTAAAACCGTCCATTATGAACCAGTTATGCTTACAAGCACTTGAATGAGATGCAGCAAATCTTTGTTTTAATACATATAATATGAAGCTACCCCTACCAATGTGTCCACCTAGAAATATGTGCAAAGCAGAACAGTGTTCATCCAGAAATATGAGGAGCAAACAAATATTATGATATGGCCTTTAGCCGAATGAGAAAATAACCATATTTCCTTGCCTCTTGCATAGAGAGTTATAAGAGGATACATGGATGGTCAAGTCGCTTAAGAAAAGGAATAACTTTACATGTAGGCACAACATCGTAAATTTTGTACCTTCACTTCCACATTATGAAACTGAGTGTCAACGTCATACACACGAAAGCTGTTATGAAAATATAGTTAGCCACCATGGAATCGTTGCACATAAATGTGGGACCAAAAACATTTTTTTAATTAAAACAGAGATAAAAGCTTTAAACTTACACCAGAGTCTGCACAACCTCAAAATGATAAGTGATGTTTTGTTTTGTGATCCATTTTGGATTTAATGAATTTAGAACTACTTCAGTGCGACCAAGCTCTGAAAGTCCTCCATCTCTTCCTTTTGTATAGATAACCACCATCGGATCACTCTATAGAAAATAAAATTCATGAATAACAGATTGACATCCTTGAAACAAAGGAAAGATTTACACAACCAAAAAATATCTAGCATGAGAGCAAAATATAAATAATGAAATAACTAGCTACGAGCAGTGTCACATCCAAAACGAGCTGCCATCACCAGTGAAAAGAAGTACTCATTTCTAAGGCAGAAAAGTGTCAGAGTAACGATTTTACCATCAGGTTTTGAATTCATAAACAATATGATTAAGTAAATAGAAAATACAGAAGTAAATTTAAGCACAATGCAGTGTTGAGTAAATCAACATTGTGATTCAACATAATCGGAATAAGAGTATGAGGCAAGCCAGGGTACCATACAAACATCAATGATCAAGACTCCTAAGGATTTAACAGTAGAAATGCAAGGAATGGCTACTCCTATTCATTAGAGCGACAAACCTTGGAGAGAACATCCCGATCATGCAGGTCTATAGCAGCAAGTGATATCTGCATGCAAATTGTTAAAAAGAAAATTAAGTATACCAGATGCAAACATTGACAGACCTCAAAATGGGAGCGAATTCATTAGTTACCAAAAAAAAAAACACCACAAAATTCCATAAAAATCGTAAAATCTAGCTTTGGCTGCAGTAGAAGTCATTAAACAAACATTACATTTCGAATGACTTCGATTGTGAATCCAAGTGAACAATCCAGATTTTTCATGAACATCCAATTCTTGAGCACCAATTTTGCAAAATAATCTTACTAATTCAAGCTTTTTCTTAATGTTCTTGACTACATTAGCGTCAATGGCGTGTATAACAACAGTCTTAAGTTCTAGCGCCCTCATATTTAAGTTAACAGAACTCAAAAGTCCAATCCAAAATGCTACCTGCTAATTGCTAATTGCTAATTACTAATTACTAATTACAGTTAACAGTTACAAATTTGGCTCAGAAGATTCAAGAGAAGCAGAGAGAAGTAACCTCGATCTGGGAGAAGAGGCCGTGGTAGCCACGCGACCTGAGGAAGAGATCGACGGCGTCGTTCGGTGCGTCGTAGGGATTGGCGTGAGAGGCTGCGGTGCCGCCCACCGCCGACATGCCGCCGGCGTCGTTGGAAAAGCAGTTTCCCATTGCAAAAGACTCCAAAAAGCTCAGCCTCCTCCTCCTCCTCCGCCCTCCCTCAGCTCCGCTGCAATAACTATATTTCCAGAAAAATGAAATTAAAATTTGAAGTCTCCGGAAAATCTCTCCAGTCTATGATTTTGCAGCTTGCTACCAACTTATTTAAATACTATTTTATTCATGCATTGGTTGGCCCCACATTTTGTTCCGTTGATAACTTAGGGAAGGAAAAGGGCATAAACGCGTTTTTTGCTTTGGAAATTAGATTAAATGAGAATTACTTGAATAAGCCGCGTTTTTCTGTTAACGGAAAACCCGAAAACTAGCGATGATCAAAGACTGAATTCCAGAAGGAGGAAAATGTTGCGACTGCTGTCCTTTTTCTTCTTCTTTTTCATGAGAGTGGAGTGGTCTTTTCTCTTGAATCCACTAGGAAGTTGATGTGAAGCGGTCTTTTCTCTTGAATCAACTAGGAAGTTGATGTGAACACTTTCTCAAATAGGAAAATTACCGCGTGATTCTAATATTACGTGACATGTTGACATAATATTACAAATTTTCGAAAATAAACTGCATTTGGAGTTCAGGTCATTTGAGTAATGGTTTCTGAATTTTAGCTCAATTGGAGTTTTAGTTCCTTAAACTAAAAATTCGTGACTATGTGCCTATGAACTTGTTATAATGTGTCTAAATGACTCTTTTTACTAACTCCATTAAAACTTTCATTAAAAATGAAGGATTTAAAAGGAAAAAAAATAAATTGAAGTTTTAACGGAGTTAGTCAAAACGATCATTGCTCCACATTAAAACAAGTTAGATACCAATACTCATGAATTTTTAGTTCCTAGACCAAAACTTCAATTGGGCAAAAGTTCAAGATATTGATTTAATTTTCTCTCTGGAGTTTACTATTGTGTCTTATATTTTACATGTATGAATAAATTATAATTGTGACCTTGCATGAATGTCACGTAGTTTTACCATGACAGAAGAAATTCAAAATTCCGAACTGAACGGTGTGTGATGAAAGATTTTTTTTCTAACTTCGGCACATATTTCAATTCCGAGATTACATAGTGAATTAAGTACATCTTATTCATATACGACTTATTACATTATTGCTGCAAATTATTAACGGTTCATTTATAATTTGATAGTGAGAAATTCGAACTTAAGACTCATTCGCGTATCAAGAAGATCATAGCACTCATGAACTACGACCTAATCCGCAATTATTTGCATGTTGGTGATTTTTTTACACTTCTGTTTTCTCATTCTCTAATGTGTATTCCTCCTCTTGTTTATGTTATCCTATTCACCTTTGCTTTAAGCACAAAAAAATAGAGTGCGAAAATTATTTCCTACAAATTTGAACGAGAGAAGACACAAAAACTGTAAAAGTTAGAAATCACGGAGAAGTTCTTTTCCGGCTGGTATACCAACTTTTCATTATTTTTCTCTTCTGTTTTTCTTGTTGGGAGTTGGGACAGACTTGGAAAATACCGAGTCAATATATTAAATTTACAATAATAAAACTATATTGCCATTTAAACCAAATAAAAAATAAAAAAACAAGACTTCGCCGTCGAGATTTTTGAAAAATGTCCGAGCATACGACTGGATATCCGAATTCATCACATGTGATGTTTGCCACTTGTAGGATAGATTAATATAAACTAATTATATTGATATTAGCTAACACGAACGATCATAATTCATGTATTGACCATCGTTTAATGGGTATACAACTATAACGTTATTTAAAACTTAATGTATGTCATCTTTTATTTATCTCTCTTTACGTGACACGTTGTATGTAAATTTATTCTCTCGAATCGAATCTAATCTAGCAGGGCATGTTACATGTGAAAATATTGCACAAGCTCTTAAACTTTAGATTATTAATTTGCTTTCGAATTTTGAATTGAACTACGAAGGCTGGCGTTTAAAATGGGTTTAGTTTTAATGCATATATAAAATAGTTGTAATCATGAAATTTAAAGATTGTATATAATGGCGGCTTTGTTTCTTTAAGAACACACTACGAATAATGATACATATAGACGAGGAATAATGATTCAATAAGCAAAACTAATTAAATGATTACACTAATTAAAGTCAATAAATTTTTGTTTTTATTAAACAAGAAGAAAAAGAAAAGGCAGAGACACCAAGTAGACATGGCCAGCAAAAGTGAAAAGGGGATGCTGGCATGCATGAATCCGGATCCTCTTTCCGGGATCCTAGGTTTTGTGAATCATATCCGTTTATTGTAAATCATACAGTCAAAAATCATTTTAAATATTTTTGCTTAAAATTAAATACAAATAGTACTTGAGAAAAACTAACTGCATTATGTACGTTAAAGGGACACGATTTAAAGATTTTCAAAATCCTAACTAAAAGGATCTGGAGAGGATGTTGGGGCATGCATAGCTGTTTAATTGGAGGTCTGCTGACTGCTAAAACAAATTTTGGTCTTCAAATTGTCACATAAGCCCACAAATTTGTATTCGAAAAGTCATATTTAGGGGAGCTATTGGAAATGCTCTAAGTTAATATCTTTAAAGCATCTCCAACAGTTTCTTTAAGGGGTGGTTTGGGAGTGAGGTGCTTAAAAAAAGCACCCATGAAAAAAAACTGTGAGGGTTTTAGGTGTTTGGTAAACTGAAAAAAAAAGAGGCTTATTTTAGAAGCTGCTGTGAAAATAAGCTGAAATCAAAGAAAAAAATTGAAGCTGCTATTTGCAGCTTTGGAAAACTGGCTTTTTTTCAAAGCACCCGGAGCTACAGTGCTCCTTTAATGAAAAGACCCACTATCAGACTGCATTTTTTTTCAAAAGCACTTTTACAAAAAAGTTTACCAAACACTCTGCTGATTTATTTCACAGCCGCTTATTCTCACATCACAGCCGCTTATTCTCATATCAGCTTTTTTTCAAAATACAGCAATACCAAACCAGCTCTAAATGTGACTCTTCAAATACAATTTGTTTGCTCACATGACAATTTAAAAACTAAAATTTGTTGATTCACAACTTTGCTTCAGCAGACTCCGCAAATCTTAGTGCTTCTTTATTACTTTCATCTTTGGGAGGAAAAAAAAAAGTTGACAAAGACATTTTTATAATAAAAATAATGTTTGAAAAGTGGGATAGAGAGTCTCTAAATATATAGAGTGTATGACATTTTCTAAATTTGAATACTTATTTGATAACTCTGTTAGAGCACAAAAAATCCTATGTGGCACTTCAACTTTAGTTTTGTGGAATTTCTTGGAGTCTATTACTGTGAATATGTAATGTGTGAGATTCTCTTATGTTTTCAATTGATCACGTCCCAATTATTGATTGTGCGATTTTAAATACGTAACAAATATTTATTGAACAATAGTGCTACTGAGACTCAATCTTGATAAGAGAATATATTCAATGTGTACGGCGTACCCCACTAATAGAAAAAGACTATTGCAATGCTAAACTTAGGGCATCAAAAGTTGATAAGATCGCAAGATAAATGATATTGTGACAGTGTCCTAACCAATCATACATTCTTATATGAGAATCGGATTATACGACTATCCAAAACAACAAAAAATAAATTAAAAAATGGCATCGACTTGACAAAAGCCTTTTTGGTCCATTTCATCCTGGAATTTTAGTTGGATACACATGATCCAAGGTGGTGGACATTTGCCTTATTGTGTTTTAAATTTCGATGTGTTTATCTTTCTCATTATATGATTTATATCACACATGATCATATGATTAGAGGATAATGAAATTTTATCACCTCGTGTTAGATCACGTGATTAAAGTGAGAAAATTTGATCAATATGAAGGGAGAATGACTTAGATGAAACGAGTTTAACATAATATAGCGTCTCGATTCAATAATGCATTGTCATGTATATGTAAGTTTTTCTTTACAATGCATGATTGACCTGAAACACCATAACGATAGCAAATCCATTTCATGTAAGTTGCTATTCCACCAAAGAGTGGAATGAAAGCGTGGCGACATGACATTCTTAATCCTCCTGGCTAGAAAGAGTGTCTTGGAGTCAACGAGCATTGAGGTCAACCACCAGACCATGGATGGTGGATGATCTACTTCTCTGTCTGACTCTGACCCCATTTCACATACTACATCTACATGTGAATCCACTTCCTCTTCCCAACCATGGTTCCTCATTGGTTCAGTCTTCCTGATGCTGTCGCAGAAGATATTCAGTAAAGCTGTCTGATTAGGACATATCTATACTGAATGAATTGTGGAAAGTCGAGTGAGACGAAAATAAATACAACTTGTAAAAAGTGTCGTGCATATAACATGGTCGAAGTACCGTTCCGCAAGTTTTTCTCCATGACAAGATGGCTGGAGAGTGGAAATACAATGGATAGGTCTAGGTCAAGGTTAAGGTCAAGGTCAATGTCAATTTCCCCATTTCCAAATGATTCATGCCTGCACGATACCATAGCAGTTGGTGAAAACAGGGATTGAAGATGCCTCCCTCCCACATGCTAATCGAAATGATACGAAATAATGCTGATGTTGAGAATATTTTTTGACCTCATACGAAATCCGCGTTTTTTTGTTTTCATCAACAATCGAACGAATTCAAAACAAAAGTAGAGATCCATCTGCCAGACAAGTAAAATGAGTACTAGAATGGGAATTCGATTTCGGGTTGAATTCTGCAGCATCACTTCTAAGCTGATCCACAAATCATCCTGCACTAATGCAATTACGAGAAGAACGAATCATCTACTAGTTGCATTTTCCATCTTAAACACGAAGCATTCGTTTAAATGTAGTTTTTTGCATCTTAAAGATTCAGGACCAACTATTCTGCAAGGGTACATTAGCAGCCTTTACCACCTGAGCTACAATGCTAATGCATCATTCCTAGTAACTACTTATAACTAACTGATATATCGTTCTAAACCGAGAACCTGAACTAAATAGGTGAAGTGATAACAACCAGGCAAAGCCATGCTCATTTTACCAGCATGTTTGAGATGTCCAATTAACCGGTTTGACACTAGGTTAGTAGGTTGGGGCGGAGTTCAATGATGATGAGTCCCTGCTGGAAGCTCAGGTGCTTCCAATGTTGTTGAGGTGTGTGGTTTGTGTAGGTGATGAAACATACTGGACTGTAGGCACTTGGTAGATGTAGTATTCGGCAGCATTCCCCTGCTGTAAATTAGTTCCAGTCTCCGTCTTCAAAGGTAACTGATTGTACCCATATCCCAAGCTCGTTTGTTGATCAGTAGGAACTTCATCATGTGTGGCCTTGTGCTTGTGATAGCTGCAACACAAGGACCATGATAATTTCAGTTTATATAATAAAGACTAGTCAAAACGAAGAGATGTTCTAAGAACTAGCAACAAAGTTAAGAAATTGAAAAGAGAGTGAGGAGCAAATATCCGGGATGTTGTTTTTAAGCATGATCACATGCAATGAAACTCTCCGCTTAACAAATCAAATATAACAGTTCCCAAATTGCGTAATATGTTTTGTTTAAAAGTCACCCAAACCTTTCCTGCATTAGTAAATATTTGTATCTTTAAGAACATGTACTGTAACTTCTCAAAAAATACTCTTTGATTAGCATCTCCATTTAGCGATGCAATTTGCTTGGTGGAGCAGGGAAACTCCAAGTTTAAAATAATAATAATAATAATAATCTAAAATAATATAACTTTTGGCATACATTATCCAACAAAAAATAAAGAGCATCCTTTGGGTTGCAAGTTGCAACAGGGAAATCAAACTACCTAAGGATAAGTACCTTTCATATGATGTGGGTGCTTGCGAGGCAGGGAGTTCAGCCGAGTAACTGTGCGCCACTTGTGCAGAATAATATGTCTGATTTGGAGCTGGCATAGCTTGCTGTTGCACAGCAGGATAAATGTAGCCCATGTATGACATGTATCCATAGCTAGCAGGCTGTTGGTGTACGACACTCGGTTGAATATACTGAGGCTGAGACTCCAACATTGGTGAAGTAAGACTGCCATATATCAAAGATGCAGTTGGATCCTTCATGGAAGGCAGGCTTGCTGGGGACTGAAACTGTTCCTCCGTAGATTGGGTTGGCATTGCTGATTGTGAACCTGCATTTGGCACAGCAGGTTGGTCTGCATGATGGAAAAGACCCGTGTTTCCTGTGGATCCACGACCATCCCGCTGCTGAACTAGGACTGCCTGTGGAACATATTGAGGAACCAACACTTGTGGGGCTTGACTGAGACGCATTGAGTTATAGTATGTAGCGCCTGAAGGAGGCAGCCTTGGGTATTGATCCTTTATATAGGAATTGTCATATTTGACAGTTGATTGTGTGGTTAGAGGATGAAACAGTGATAACAAATGGCTTACCTGCACAATAAAATCAACTGGAAAATAAGTACGGTTGATCAAGTGACGGCAATCCAATCGAGAAGGATGAAATGGAACTGATTCCGATACCAAAGAAACTTACTTGTTGGCAATTGAGAATGGGGTTAAACTTCTTGGAGCCTTTCTGGTAGTTATCTAGAATAGCATGTTTAAAATCACTCTCAGGCAAGGGGAGACATTCCTTGTAAATTCTGAATCTTACCTATACACAAAATTCAAGTGAATACTAATTAGTTCTTACTGAACATTATATTAAGGCAGGAAATTCTAAAAGGCAACTCATCAAGCATATTATTATGTCAGTGGTGGTTTAAAACAATGTGCACTGTAAAACTCTCTAGAGTTTCATGGTTCGAAGGCTTATTTTCTCTTCCCATTTAACTTAAACAAAGACCCTTTTGCAGTAGGAGATGATACGAAAAGCAATACTAAACTCACCTGCGCGGGAAAGCTTCCACCAAAAGCCGTTCTTTCCAAGTTCATCTTTCCAGCAGTGGTTGCTTCATACACCCCATAAAGAAACTTGACATCATAATCAAACAGAAACAGCTTTGTGCCTGGCCGGATCCTCTCTATAACTTCCCTTCTTCCAGCAGGAAGTCCAAACACACGGTATAGGTAGCATTCCGGTTTTGTTCTTCCATTGCACATAAATATATACCCGGAAAAGTCTTCCAGACCCAGAGGGTCCTTATGCACCCCATGATCCTCGTTAGCACAAGCAGAAGCAGAAACATGGTCATACGCATAATTTGAAGGGGCAGGAGCAGGGTAATACTTGGCACTCGTGTGGTATACAATCGGCCCCTTGTTTTCAAATCCGTCATATCTTCTCTCAGTCATGTTGAAGACTAATAGGAAAGTAGCAAGCAACAATTTCGGCAATGCCAGACAAAGCAATATTCCATTAACGATTTCATAACCAGAACAAGAAACAGAGGTAAAAAATCTGAAACTAAATTAGCGAAATTCATAGCAAAACTCCTACAAGTCCTTGAATCAGTGTTGGAGGGAAATCTAAACTGGCATAATAATTGCAATTCAACAACTCTACCACTATTTCACAGCTCTCTAAACAACTTCCAACCCAATTTTCCTCACATCACCTCGTATGAATCCGCTCGGGGATAGGCAGGGAATCCCATCTGAAAAGTAAACCCTGCCTATTGTGGTTTCAGATATCTACATCTAGAGTACTAAAAAGTGTCACATTTCACCCTAGATTGCACTACAAGATAAATCTTGTTATGGTTTTATGAAAGCTTTGCTTGCATCTTCCCTTCAACCAATCACCCAAATTCAACAAAATCATGATGTGAAATATCTCCAACCCAATTTCTTGACCTACATTTTCCCTTTTCTACAAAATATATATAAATTATATAAAAAAAAAGTTACCAGGTAACACTCAAAAACCAACAAATGCATCAATGTTAATCACAGCTCAGAACCACATCAACCCAAAACTTTATGTCCAATTTAACGCAATTCGACACAGGAATTCACCAACTCAGCTCAAAAGTCACTAAAAAGGCTAAAATTTAAGGTGAACAAAAAAACCAGTTGGACGAGCATTTAAACACTGAAAAGAAATCAGAGCAATGCATAAATCGTACCCAAAAAAATAAAAATAAAAAACTCAGAAAAATGAAAATTTGGGACTCACCAAATGCAAAGGAGAGGAAACTTGGAGCGTCTCTGGAGAATTGGAAATATTTAGGAGTCGGAAAATTTGCGCGTGGCAGGAGAAGGTGAAGCCCTACGTTACGTGTCATTATGGGCTTCCCACCAAAACTAAATTTTGTCACTAGAACTTAAAAAGAATCTACAGAATAATGTTAAAGAGACTAAATTTATAAACTAAATAATGTGTCACTAATAGAAATAAGCACGTTTATCAACGCTTAAGTAATAAACCAATTATCAACTTTCATGCCTTAGTCTCCTAGCATTACTCGAATCTACAAACAACGAATTGACAATGACGTCTTGGTTCAATAAAACAATGATATGAGTAAAAAATTTAACATGCGATATGTATTGTAGGATTGAAATATTACATGACGGTAAACATGTTTCAAGTAAGTTGATCTCCACTAAAAATACTTGCTTGCAATATATTTTATTTTTTTATTCCTCTCGGAATTATTTAAGAGAATGCTTATTCATATTAAAATTTTCATAAGACGATGTATTTACGTTAAAAGTAAGGAGTTGTGCGAGCCACAGTGCATTTTTGCTCTATACTCTCAAGTGGCGATAATGCGTACACCCTATTTATCTTTGTTGGATGAGTTTTAAATTTTGAGATTTGTGTCTATCCATTGCATAGATCTCAAAATTTAAACTTATCTAACGGTGATAAATATGGTGGTAAGCATCACCATCACTTGAGGGTAGTGATCGGTGAGCAAATATATTCTCTAATAATTTGGTATTGAACTTGCTATCCATGGAAAACAAATTACAACATTTTACTTACAACTAAAGAAATATATCACTGTACCGTACTGCTAGGTGATTATTTGTGATTAAAAGAACGTACAACAACATAATAAATTAATTTTAATGATGATATTTCCCGTAGGTTTCTGACTTTTAATAACGAAGCAACATTTCATAATTTGGGGTAGAAAAAATTTGTGTTCCTTTTGATCTTTGAACTGGGGTTCTCTTCTGTCGAATTTTCAATTTCGCTCAAGCCTACTGAATTTTTTAATTGTACCACGAATATCAATTTGTCACAATTTTCCGTCTCGTCACGTGTAATGCACATGACCAATGTTCAGAGGATCAATGTCATAAAAAATGTTAAACACATATTTAATTAGTAAATACTTAGAACTTTGATGATGGAGTTATGAGAAAATTTTACGAGAACTTAAAAACGTACGTGTGTAGAATTTTGTCAAGTTAGTTAGAATAGTGTCTGATATATTCCACTCAAGTTTAAATCATTCTCGCAAATGTTTTTTTTAATACAATCGATAAGAAGTGGCGAAGGGCTCAAATAAATAAAAGTGTTTCTATCATCCGGTTCATGGGCCCAATTCTGCAAACTTTGGACTGCCGAATTATCTATCATCCGGTCCATGGGCCCAATTCTGTAAAACGACATGTCGTGTATGAGATGAAGGTTAGCGTTTGATTTCCACAGAAGCACATCGAAAATGAAGGCAGCCATTGCGTACTTAAAAATACACTTAGCATCATGTCCTCCATTTCCTCAAAGAAATTTGCATCTAAAATATACTCTAATCCACTTATCAGCACCGTCCCGTCGAAAAAACTACGTACAATTCTCCGACATCTCGACAGCATGCCTACGCTCGACTCTTACAAAAATGCACTATGAAAGTTGTTACTCTTGAAAACAAGTAATAGATCTTTGAGCACCGACGTAAAATGAGGACAACAGAGAACCAGATAGGGAATTTCACTTCCGGGCTAGTAGTATCTGTCAGCTGGAACGTTTTATAACCGTCTACGTGGTTTTGTGTAAACCAATGTTCAAATCAGAAGATATGGAAATGAGAAGGGGGCATGAGTGGAGCCATACAGCTTTGAAAACCCGTTTCTGATGAGCGCTTATGGATTGAGAAGGCTTGTTGGCGTTGTATCTGATGTCGAATATGTGGATCAATGGATCTGCCGTACCAGATGAGATGTATAAGCCATCAGGAGACCAAGCCTGATTGATCAGAGCTGACTGAGATTCACTGCTCTCTTGCTTCCACCCAAAAGCATGTATCTCTGTTTGCCTCAGTCTGATATCAAATAGTCGGAGCTGCTTCTCATGGGTCCTGCGTGTTATAAAACAGGTTAACGTTAATAACTTCAAGCTCGTAAAAGAATACATAGAAATCGTAACTGAAGAAAAGCCCTTCGTCCAAAATGTACACTCATATCAAGTTATTCTAATATATGATTATTAATCAAGTCTAGAAAGCCAAGGGTTCTTCCAAAAGATTTCTGATGGTTAACAATACAAACACATGTCAAAAACCGTGAGGCATCTTAACAAATAATATGATGCAGCATGCAAATGCATGAGGTGAACAAAACGGCATTCAGTTCTAGGAGCACTGACAAGGCGATTATCAAGACAGCACACGAGTTGATGATATGAAAATTCTAGATGAAAAATCAGTGTTTCTCACCCTGATTGAACCATGAAGATATTGAAGTCGCAAGGATTTGGCAACACACTCATGCATTTACTTTCTATCTGATGCTTAAACTCTGCTCTTCCTGTGTTAGCGTCAAACCCAACAATTCTCTTGTCTGCTCCGGCTGATAGTATTATCTGCTTTTGGAACATCCCGGCAACTCCCATAACAGCAGATGAGTGCATATTCCTATGCAGTGTCTTTGGTTTCCATACATTCTCCGCATCAGCCTCTTTCCAGATTATAACAGCATGATCACTACCACCAGTGACAAAACAGGTATCCTCCCAGGGTGGGAAAACTATGTTGTTAATGATCCCTCTCACATGAGGCTTATCTTTGAAGAAAGTAACACGACCTTTCTGTCAATGCACAAAAAGCCAAGAATCGGCATGTCAATTCTCTAAATTTGGGAAACTCATGGGCTGAGGGCATGCTGCTCAGGGCTCAGTGTACCCCACACACAATTGGAGCAATTAATTTTAAAGGTGGCCCTTACCCCTTGTGTTCTATTTAAATCTAGGACTGATACTTGCGAGTCGCCACCATCAGCACTATACACAGAAAATAGTCTGTTTCCATCAGGGTGCCAGGCGATATCTTCTGGCCATCTCCTGTTTGGAGATGCACAATCAGTAGAACTAAGTCGAGAAGCACTAGACCTGCAATTAAAAGAAACAAAAGGGACGCCCGATCAGTTGTGCAAAGTAGAAGCGCATGCCTGCAAATTTAAGAGCACTGCAAAAGTGGCTAAGCAACTAATATTTAAGACATGAGATGAAAAATTGAAACTGCAAGAATTTACAAATCCAGAGGTCATGACAAAAAAACATAATCACAGGTCTGCCTTTCTAAACAGACCAAGGAATCACAGCCACATAGATACCAACACCGATTTTGAAACACAGAGATACTGCACCTCCTCAGTCAATTTAGGAAATACAGTCCACCAGTCAGAATACATCTCTATCAAAGGCATGTAATCATATAACTATAAGCTCAAATACATGCTTTTCCTAAATATATAAATAAAATTAAAAATTAAAACAAAAAAGGAGAAAGCTCGACTATATGACCTTATGCTCATGTCAATCCACTTTATATTGCTACCAACAACACAATTGTGAAGTTAAGAAATAATAATGTAACATGATGAATTTGAACTTTACCCTTTGGACTGAACTTGCCAGAAGTTGACTACTCCATCCAAAGCACTGCAAACATTCCAAAGCACTTGTTAAAATTGATCAGGTTTGCTAGCGTTTGATGCATCTTGTAGTTACCAATTGTAGGACACGGTAAGCAATATACTTCAAGCTTTCTTTTAAACTTAAATTCTAAGTGTAAATTTATGTCGTTGCCTCTTGTTGGGCTGCTTACACAAATTCTTTTACCATTATTTTTCTTAATAACATAAAATATCAGGATGAGGATTCAATTTCATTTAACAGAGTACAAGAGAATACTACCAGCTTATGAAAAAGAAAGACATATACATATTCCGAAGCAGGACCATAATCTGTAATTTATAATTCAATACACATTAATATGTACAACTACCTGAAAGGGTTAAAGATACCTGATATTTTGAGAATTTGATATATACGTTACAGATTTAAAGTTAGAGGCCATTTCTAGCCCAAAGACAACTACTAACCAAAAGATGTGGACACAAGAAAACAGGGTTAATCTTATAACCCGAGGATATAACCATATAATATATGTACCCCCACATATTCAAAGGTGAAATCCTGAAAGAGTGAAATAAACACAACAGATATCATGGATATTGATGACAAGTAAAAAAATGTTACTAATATAATAAAGAACATATCCTTCTTCCTCAGACAGCAAACATGTTAATTACCTGGTCACAAAAAGCTGATCATTCACTGGACACAAAGAAAGACTTCTCAACTTTCTCTTGTGCTGACTTGAGATGTGACTGCTCGCATAGCAGTTGATTTTACATGGTTGAGAGCTAGTGCGAACCAACGGGACTAATTCTTTGTGTTCTTTCTGTTCTGAAATACATACAATTTTAGCATCACACAAAGAAAAGCTGAAATATGTGGCCTAGAAACAGGCAGTCAAGAAACACAATATGGACAATGAGGCCAGTCAACATGCTAGAGTCTTACCAAATTTCCGTTTTTTCCCATTATCTTGAACTTCAACGTCCTGCTTTGAAGAATTTCTATACGATTTGTCGCCTTTCGTTCTGTTAGCACTAATAGACTGACAAGAAACTGATGGACTTGCTTGAGCACTAGAATTAACTGGATTTTTCCCACTAGAACCTGCCACCATTGTAGGATGGGAAACTTTTGAGCTGACTGCAGGAATGAAAAGTTCTGTTTTCGATTGATGCTGGTGTCTAGAACCTTCATTTAAATGTATAGGACTTGTTGATCTGCGCTCCACCTTTGGACTTCTCGTTCCACCACCCGGAGAACTCCTGGTTGACCCTACTTTGTCTTGGCGTCGAAGTCGAGCCAACTTAATTTCGGCATCAGTTAACCTCTTCTCCGTTTCTCCAAGCTGCATGCCTTTTCCAAATAAATAATTAGTGGATAATTCCCTTCGGAAGGCATCTCATAAGTTAAAACACATAGAAACGCTCATAATTTCGGGCATATCTAAGAAAATGTTAATGCTAGGGAGACCAAATTTTTAAACCAAATGATGTGTCACCAAAAAGAAATAAGCACGTTAATCAACACCTATAATAATCCAATCGTCAATGTCCACATCATTTGGCTTACAAAATTTGGGTTAGAAATTTGGTCTCCCTAGCATTACCCCTAAGAAAATGGTATACTGTCTTCCCTTGGTGATTTGAATTTGCAGCAATTAACTTCATATACAGTGAGTTTAAACAAGGCCATTCGGCTAATCAATGGCCATCAAGGCAACTCCATACATTAAAGCAAAGTCATAAATAGCAGTGTTTATGATCAGACTCAAAATCTATGATCAGACTCAAAATCAATGAGTTTTTTATTTCTAACTTCATCTCAAGAACCCTAAAAAGACTTCTTGTGCTGTGATGAAACCCGGGTGTGCATTTGCCATGATATTAGCTTAGGGCATAAAACCAATACATTTAATTAATCAAAAAGCAGTCCTAATTAAACTTTGTAAACCGTTCTAATTTGGGATTAGCAAAAAGATTAAAACTTTCAAGCTTAAAAAGCATTGCAGCAGCAGGTTAATCAAAAGACTGAAAACCCATAATTCAAAGTTTATAACTTTATAGCAGCAGCAGAAGCATACCAAATGAATACAAACAAACAAGGAAACCAACATTTCTAAAAACCCCAATATGTCACCATCGAAATGACCAGAGAGAGAGGGAGGGAGGGAGGGAGGGAGGGGGATGGTGGGGTGCAACCTGAGTTTTGTAATAGTTGACGCGCTGGCGGAGATGGTGGACTTCCCGGGTGCGATGCTCGATCAGAGCGACGAGGGCTTCTTCTTGCTCTTGCCTGCTATCTGGATAGCCGTTCTCCTCTTCCGCCATATTCGTCTTGTTTGCTGTTTGTTTGCCGCCACCGCCGTCGTCGTCTGTGTTTTCCACCTCCTCTGTCTTGGGCTTCTTCAGAGCACCCGTTCAATATTTCTTTGTCTGCTGCAATCAAATATTTTGGGGCAGTAGGAAAACCCAAACAAATTTTGAACTTTCTTCATTTTTCACTAAAAAATTAATTTTAAATAATCAAATATAATTATCAAAAATCTTAATTTATTTTGTTTTTGTAAGTTAAGTAGGATAACTACCCAATATTTTAGGGGTTATTTCAAATTAGTCCCAAATTTGTATAGCATTTCAAATAGCTACTTAACGTTTAAAAAATTAGACATTTGTTAGTGTAGACGAATTTGAACCACATTATTGCTAACCCATTAGGAGCCTTAGTCACTTCCTCATGCCCTTAGTGTAGATAATATTGTTTGTTCTAAAAAAAATGTACATACGATAGATATGTTAAACGTATCTCTTTTTAATGTCTTTTTTCATAAAAAATTAAAATAAAATAAAAAGATAAATGTGCCTCTTAGAACAATTGAAGAGACTACATGTGTTAAAAAGAACATCACAACCCTACAATTACAAACATATTAAAAAAAAATCATGGAGAACCTTGGTGCTAAACCCTAAACCATAGTCATGAGCACTAAAACATTGTACTATCGTAGAGGCCCCACGAGGAAAAAGACCACACCTACCTATCTCTGATGATTTGCAATCATCGGCAAAGAAGCTTTGCTATGAGTCTCATCCACCAAACAAGCTTTGCTATGAGTCCCATCCACCAAACGTCTAGTTTCCTTCTCATAGTTCTTTGACAAGTGCACAAACCACAAACACCAGCACCTTAGGTCTAAACAATAATCGCCGCTCCAAAGTCCGAGATTAAACAAACCGCTCCATGGCCACAATCACGAAAGCTCACATCGGCGAAGTGAGAGAGCTATCACAACCAGAAACTGTAGGCTATACTCGACACACTGATAGAGCGACTACAACGAGAAACAAAGAGGGAAAAAAGAGGGAGAGATCAAGAAGGATTGACGCCAAAGGCAGTGGTTCCAAAAAGAGGATGATCCAAGGAGTAGGAATTTTTTCCCTCTGGGGTTCCCAAAAAGAAGTATCAAAATACAAGAAAACATTAAGAAAGATTGCAAGAGAACACACTCACATAGCATCAAAGCAAGATTAGAATTTCAAAAATTTCAGCAACTGGAGCACTCAAGGGTACATGTGTCTCCATCATTGGCCAACCAGAAAAAGGTCCCACATGAGTAAAAGGTAAAAGTTAAAACAAGGTTAAAAAAAGCCTTAGCACAAGGTTCTGTGAGTGCCTGCCTATACACTGAGACATTGTTCAACAAACAAGACTCCAAAATTTTAAGCTTTGTCAAGACATTCTCTCTGCCCATAAGTTGGCTTAATACCAGAGAAAATACCAAACGGTTGTGAAGTAACCCTCTCGGTTGAGGTAAATCCGCAACCTAGTAGAAGCACTCCTCTATAGTTAAAAATGAAGTCAATAGACCACCCCTGCTGTAGAGAATTGGAGTGGTTATACTCGTTGTACGCCGGTATTAGATTGAATGGTTAGAAATCTTGGTAGAACAAGTCTCGGTCGGATTCCTTGGAATTTTCCTCTCCGCTTGCAGTTGCTGAAGGATTCCCGTGATTATGGTTATCATCGTAGCCAACTGTTCGAGGTCTTCCTGGTCTTGATCTGATGTTGGTACCCATGGGGAAGGGTTCCTGTTGAGAGAGAAAAAATATAGGTCAGTCTTGGTAATGTGGGAACATAACCAACCTAACGTGGGATCCTATCGACCGAAAACCCAATTTAAGATAACTCAAAGACATTCTACCCCCTTGCACATAGAAGTTGTCACTTAACTGGGACAAACATTCTCAGAACTACAACTTTCCTCGTACCATGAATTTTGGAAATGAAAGACACGAGTTCCAAAAAAAACGACCAATTAGATTAATGTAGTTTAAAAAAGGGGAATTAGAGGACTGTTCATCTCACAATATCTTACCGGATCACCAGCATTTGGACCCTCTGTGTGGAAAAGTATGGGACGGCAGCGTTTGTCCTCGTTCATTAAGCTTGAGTTCTGGAAATGCGCAATAAGAGCAGCTTTACCCTGAATACGAGCATATGCAAGTGATGCCACCTTTTCACTGTTAAACTTCTCCCATTTTTTTCCATTGAATGCCTGTTAACAGACGTGCAATCTAGTTTCAGTAGGGCTATGAAAAGCCCAAAACAAAGAAAAATTTTAAATATCACAGATATAAAAGCATTTGGTCATTGAGCAGATAGCTCTCATGCAGTCAAACCTTATAGAACGGAACAATCTGATGAGGATCGATCATGTTGATGAACGCATATCCCACATTGCATTTGTTCTGTGAGAGGTTAAACAGACAAATTTTGGATTACAAAAATTCTAAGTTCTATACCCAACAAAAGATGATATTCTAAACAATTTCCTTGCCTTGAAGTCAATTGGCAAATAAAGAAAGTCATAAACTCCTCGACACTGCTCATCTATTGCAGCAAGAAGCATCTTTGAAGTATATCTGTAACAACCGTTAATTAGTTTAGCAAAATAGCAAAATCACTACGTACAACTGGATTGCAATTTTTACGAAAATATGCAGTTTCAAGAATCCATCGTTATCACAGTACTGTAGCGGATGAGTGTAAAATAAAAAATAGAAGATGGCAATAAATCAGAACAGTTGGGGGACAATAAACATACTTGTTGGGAATGTTCTTGATCATCAATGTGGTGCGTCTGTCTTCCCCACGGAGTATACGTTCAACATCAAGCTCATATTGTCTCTTATCAGCATTGTTAGAATTTGCTTCATTTCTTCGGTGAGACAGGTTTCTAACACCACGTTCATTTTGAGAATCAAAAGAGGTAGGCATTGAACTCATCGAATTCCTACCAGGAAACATGTGGCCCATCTCCTCTGAAGAGCGCTGCCGGGTACTGGTAGTCATGTCCAAGAAATTTCCACCAGTAAGAGAAAAGAGGTTTTGTGAAGAAATCTCCATAGGATGCATCTGTGGACTACCAGCAAAACGTGCAAAGCCAAGAGAACCCAAGTGAAGATTAGAAGTGTCAGGAGACTCCCCTGAAAAGGCATGCTTTTCCCAAATGGAAGGATTAACAGCTGGAGCTGATCCTACATGGTGGTGCACAGGCGATGTACCACTCAGCATATGAGGTGGTGTCCTGTGGAATCCTGGCATTTGGGCAAAGCGATGCGCACTATGACCACTGATAAATGATGGTGAATTCTGCCACATCATGGGACTTGAAGGATGCTGCTGGTATGAGTTGGAGTTATTCCAAAGATAGGGATGAGCATGAACCGGGCAGCTCCCATTTCCAGGAGATCCAAAAGCTGTGTAAGAAAACAACTTGTAAACAACAAATTCACCAGAATAATGCTACTTTAAAATCCGCATTACAAGTAATATTTCGGTTAAACAGTACCTCCGTTCAGTTCCACTAGGTGACCATTTGCACTGACAGTGGATCTTCGGTCTGTTCCTTCTCTCATTCTAAGTCCCAGATTGCCATTTATGATTCTGATAGCACCAGAAGTGTTGCATGGAATACCATGGGCTAAACTGTCATTATACTCAGGAAGTGAATGAGGATGTATGCCGGGAGCACTCTGATTACCAAAACTCATGTCATCCAGAGACTGTTCGGTGTCACGAAGGCTAAACTTTTTCCCTATAGATGCCAATGTCACTGGAGCGGGAAAGGCATCTGGAACACTTGAACTCTGATGAGATAAAGCGTTTTCAATAAATGCACTCACAGGTGAACGGACTGCAGAATGTAAGCCCAGGCTAGATCCATTAACCATGCAGCTTGATGTGACTATTCCAGGATGAAGCGTCGCTGTATTAAAAGAAAGGTAAGCAATTGTATAACAAGATAAACACAAATTGAAGCAACAGTTCATAGCAAACAGATTCATACCCTTGGTGCCTGTTGATAAATTGTCAGACAAACCATTACAAAATTTGAATTCATCCCGGTCCTGCTCGGAAACTTGAGCCAAACTGCACAAGGAATGTTCTTTCTTACAAAGGAGAAAATTAAGAATTTCAAACTTAAATGAGAAAACGAGATATTGTAATCAATAGCAAGAGTAGCTTATCAATACCCCCTCCTTGTGCCCCCTGGACGGCTCGGCTCAAGCTTGATCTGCTTTCCTCCAATCTCACTCCTATTCAACGCATGGAGAGCAGCTTCTGCGGCTCTAACATCATAAAACTCTATGAACTTGTTATGAGGCTTGTGTGGAGTCTCACGGATCTGAAAACAAAAATAACAACCACATAACATACAAAGTTCTTTCTTTCTCTTAGAAGCAAAGCAAGATAGGAGAGGGGAAAATTGGATGCCTTACTTCTTTAATTTCTCCATAAGATCCAAAAATTTTAGAAAGCTCGTCACTAGAAACAGAAGAATCAAGGTTGAATAATACTAGCGTTCCTTGGTTAGTATCTTTATCCGAAGGATTGTCCTGACATATTGGCAAAGTATAAAAGCATGATGGAACAATGCAGCATGAGAATGTATAAAACAAGACGAGAAGAACAAGGTCGCGAATTTAGCGGATACAACAAAAGTGAAAAGTAAGTGATCATCATACCTTGGGTATTGAATAATGTATGTCAAGCTTCCTATGCCTCAGTGTGTTACTTTGAAGTGCTCTTAGTGCATTTTGGGCAGCCCTTATATCATAATAAGAAATCATAACAAACCCACGATGCTTGCAGGCAGTGTAAAGTGCCCGGATATCTCCATATCGCTAACAGAACAAAGTACAATTGTCAATTTAACTGGCTTTCATGGAACTCTCAAACTAAAATAAAATACATGAATAAATAATAAAAAAGTAAAAAACTTGAAAAGGAGGCATAAGCACCTCAAAAAGAGCCTTCAATTCCAAATCTTCAATGTTGCTATTAATATTGCGAACAAAGAGTGTACGGGAAGGGTGTTCGCCATAAGGGTGTTCACCCGCAATTGAGCTATTATAAGCCCCTTGATCATCTCCTTCCATTTCCAAGCCACCGCCGCTGCTAAAGAGATCAAAATCTTCAAATCCATCACCAATATTAGTATAAGCCTTATAACCCGGCTCATCTGTCATGCCAGAAAACAAGTCATTTTCATCTGGAAGGAGATTTCCAATTGTTTGCGCCTCAATTTCTTCAAGAGATTCAATGGGTTCTTCCTCATGTTGGGAGGCACCGTTATGAGTAGACTGATGAGATATAAAATCATTCTTCAGTAATCGCACTGCATATTGAAAAAGAAAAAAAAAAGAAAAAAAAAAGGATGTTAAGATAATAAATATGCATATTTGTGGAAAAATGTGCAGAGTAATACATCAATCAAGTAGTAGTCAGCTTAAGTCGACTCAACCACGACTTATCCCAACAATTGCAAATGTGACGACTAACCATTAGTACATAAATTAGAAGTAGCAAACAAATTAGAACATGTGTTATACGTGGACAAGAAGTTTAAGAAATATTTTGGAGCCAGATAATTCAAATGCGGAAACTTTATGTAAAATAACATTTGATGTCGAAACTTCTTAGACATAGAATTGAAGAAAAACTTTTTGTGAGAAAATTAAATTTTGCTGCTTCTTCTGCATGCTTTTTATGAATGATAGAACTGCAGATTGATATTATCTACCGACAAAACTAAAGAGTATGGTCAACATAAGCATCTGATTCGAGAATACAGAAGGTAACATTAACCTCATGCAACGTATAGACAAGCATTTAATAGACTTCAGAAGGAAAACTTACACTTTTTGCTAAAAGTTTCGGACAAAGAGCTTGAGAACAGACTACTTTCATGCTGGGTGCCAGGATTAAGAGTTTTCCCGCCAACTGAGCTATAAGGTGTTGGCTTTG